CGACCTGCAAGTAACCACCATTTCACCTTGGTGACTCTGTAGTCCAAAGGTGTTTGGTGCTTGGGAGCCCTGACTAAGACCTTCTATCTATGAAGCAGTGCCAACCGTCTTTGCCTGTATTCTCTATCTTTGTTACCAGTCCCAGTGCTCTCCTTTCACATTCTGAGTTTTATGGCTTGAGATGGAGCATTACCTGGTGTGGGCTCTGTGGATAAATCACATCTGATAAATCAGTCAGTATGTCATTACATTAAACAAAGGGATGTTACAGTTCAGGAATTTGAAGGCCGATGGCTCTCATTGTGAAAATCTGCACTGTTGTAAAGAATACAGCTGCATTGTTTTGCTCTGTTAATCAACTAACTTCTCCAGATCTGGAGTGTATCTTTTACCTTGTGACCAGGGTGACAACTCATATCCCCAAAACAACGGTGAGTATTTATCTATGACATCTCTTCCTCAGAATTGCAGGTTGGGAATGGGCCATGGGCTGAAGTTTGCTAGTGTTCCTCAGGTGATTCGGAATGGCAAACAATACCCTATGATGAGAATGGCCAGTGGTGAGACTGATCTATGCTCAAAGACCTCTTACTCCAGCAAGCCCTGGGACTTCATCTCCCATGTTTCCTCTGCACTCTGTTGTCCAAATATCATCATGATGTGTAGTCTCTGAGAGCTGTGCTGCACCAAGAAGTAATTTGTAACAGAGAAGTCCTGAAGCCCAGAGTTTTGGTTAGCTGATGGGAATATTTAGCTATATTCCAGTTACAGGAAAATGAAAATGTCCTTTGTATCAGGGTAACTAATCCTTCTTAGGCTGTAAAGCAGTCGATTCTACTTTCTTGTCAAATTCCAATCTGACATGCTGATAACAAAGAAATACAGGAAGAATCACGGGGAGGAAATCAGGAAGAAAGCAGTGCCTTTTCAGTGGAGGGGGAGAAGGGGAAGGGGGGAAGAGAGAAAGAGAGTGGACAGGCTTTAAAATGAAATTGAATATTAGCAGGCAGAAAATAAAACTGGGAAAGGCTGCGCTGAAAGAGATACAGGCTGGAGATGGAGAGAGACAAAGAATGACAGCGAATCAGTTTAAGCATGAAAGAATAGAAAGAAAAAGAATAATAATGCTGGCTTGTAAGGCTGAGATCAGATTATAGTTTCCTCCAGTGAATTAATTCTCTTGTAATGTAGTGTGGTGGGCTTTACAGAGCTGGTGTGATTTCCCCATTGGGTGGCAGTGGGACATTAAGCTGAGGCAGTGTGTGTATGTTTCATTATAACTCTGCTTACGTGTACGCTAAATCTCTCGGAAAGCATCTAGGCATAAGACATGTGCTTTATCTTCTTGCGTGGAGCAAGGCATTAAATATATCTGGGGTTTGGAGGGAGCCGCATAATGAAATGGGTGCGTGCATGTGTTTGTTAGGGTGTGACATTAAATCTCACTGTGTGTTCATGTCAGCCAGTAAATCGCGGCATGCAGAGTCCCCTGAAAACCCCAGAGGTTCTCCCCAGGGAGGGGCTGGTGTGAAATCAGGTCTGAAGGACTCATGAGGCTGTTGGAATATTCCCTACCAGGTTGGGTGTCCCATTGCCAGGATGAGGGAGTGGACCAGAGATCAGAGGGATAGAATGGGAGATCACCTTTTTTTTTCCTTCACCCAGTGGACCGAACAGGGGTAGAGATGTGAGGGTACCGGGGAATCTGATTTACATCCTCTCCCTCAAAACTGTAGGAAGCCTGGATGGAATCAAGATCCTTCTCTTCTTGATCATACAGAGCCAACAAAGTCCAGCTTTTTTGGTTCTGGTTTCTAAAGCTCTCAGTCAGAGCAGACTGAGAGGCCGTTGAAGCCCAACTCTTCTTTTCCTTCCTCTCTCATGCCAAATCTCACTCTCTACCTCATGGCCAAAGATGTAGTTAAGCAAGGCTGTTGACACCCACCTTGAGATGATCAGTACTTGTCTTTGTTAATAGATTCCCTCTTATGTAGGTTCCCACACCATCTCCAAATGGAATTTGTGTACATCCAATAGCAAGAAGCGAAGGACAGCCACGAAGCTAAATGTCACATGGTGAGGATGCTCAAAAATCCTCTTCAGGGAGAACAAGAGTATAATTTAGGATGCAACAGAGATGGCTGGGAAGACAGATAATGGAAGCTATGAAATCTTGAGGAAGGAAAAGATGAGTGGAGAATGGTTGCTCACGGACTTTTCCAGTAGTCGCAGAGATGGTGTAATCAGTCTGTGGAATTTTTTGCTTCAGGATATAAGCTGATGCTTCAAGTTAATAAGAGCTCAGGTAAGGGCAGAGAAGTTCAAAGGAAAAACCCAGTGAGTGTTGTTAAATTCACAGAGAAGACATCTAGTCCTAGAAGTCTCCATGTCTCAAAAGACTGGAAGAAGGGAGAATACTAGGGATGAAACATGAGTCCTTGCCTTGTTCTTATGCATAATGCATATGCCCACAGACACTTCTGGAAATAGTGAGTTAGGAGGAGCAAATTGTGCAGCTGTTCTGGGCTATCTGTGAAAGAGGCTAAATATTGTCCATTTACTCTGTGCAATGTCATGCACTTTGGATACAGTCACATAGACTATGACTACCTGTAGGCTAGGGTTGCCCACAGATCTGTACTCCCCTCCTGCTTTGAGGAGGCAGGATCTCACCTGCCCAAGCACACCTGGGCAGTGTCTGCAAGATATGCAAGAGGCATAACATGGTCAGAGAGCATGGAAAAACCCGCACAAAATTGATACAACTGTAGAGATTGATGCTGCTAACAACCCCTGGGACATCTGACAAGTTACTCCTAGCTTGAAGACTGGGCAAATGATGTTAGCACCATTTTATACTGGAGTAAAATTTGTGTCTTTGCCATAGAAACACAATGAGTGGACAGCAAAGAAGAGATTGGATTTTGCAATGTTTTGTGTGCCTTCTTCTTTTTTCTTTTTTCTTTTTTCTTTTTTTCTTTCTTTTTTGGCCCCTCTTGGTCTTTCCTATATTCAGAGCACGAAGCAATCTCAAGCGTGCTTTAGATAAGAGCAGACCCATCCATACCTTTGTGACACTGTGCTGTGATACAGCGACTTGCCCAATCCAACTATCTCCAGCAACTCTGCAGGACAGAGTGCCTGAGAAATTTATTGTTTTCTGCAACAGTGAAGGGATAATTAACCCTGTTATTTGTGGTTATGTGGAGTGCTTTGTTCCCCCTGCCTGAGTGCTCTAGATTTTGGTATCACTCCTTTTTGGCCATTTCTTCTTGGATCCCTCTACCTGCTAGGAAACAAGGTGATAAATTACTTTCTACTAACCATTCTCTGCATTACTGCAGCACCTCATGAGGAAGTTATCACTGGGGGAGCTGCAGATGATGCTGAACTTCAATTAGGCCCCACTGGCAAATTAGTTCTGCAGGGTGACATTTTCCAATCATGCAACATTAACATCCTCCCTAATTATGAAAATGTAAAGCTAACTTCTGTTTCATAATAAATTAGTCTTGTTCTCTTCGAAAACAGATGAGCATGCACACAGTGTAGTTTCAATTGAGTTTTCTCTTCCTGTTCTGCTGATGCTCAGAAGCAGTCACAACCATGACACAGAGTAACCTCTCGTTCCTCTAAAGGTCAGATGTGGTGAGAGTCTGATAACAGTGGGAAAGGAAATCACCAAGAAAGGTCAAAAAGATATTGAGGGAATAGGGCTTTGTTAGCCTTCTTAGGATGGTGGGCACTAGCCATCATTCTTCAAGGACGAAGGAAAATGAGCAGGAGGAAGCATTCCCTTCTCTCCTTCCTCCAGCAATCTTTTCCAGCTCTGGTTTAATCATCCCACATGTACAATCCTGAGTTAGATATTGGAGCTGTACTATGAAGTACTTGAAAAAATATCCAGTGTGTTTATGCAGCAGTGCATAGAAGACATACACAAAATGAGAGGACAAGAAGAGGAAAATCTGAGTATTATGTAGACCAAAGTTTCTTATCGAGGTTAATGTAAATATCACAAGTTCTCAAGATAAAAACAAGCAAACAAACAAAAATCAGTGATTTTTTGTACAGTCAGAAGAATAAGAAGAAAAGTCTCTCCTGGAGCCTGTCCCGTATGTCTCCTTATTTAAGAGATACAACTCAGAGATGCCATATTATAGTTCATCACTGGCCCTTGACAGTTAAATTGTGCAACTCTGCTATGCGTTTCATAGAGACCAGTAGACATTACATGTTGAAGGCAAGCATCGTGTCTCCTTTGTGCCTCTGTTAGAGGGAGCTCTCAGCCACAAATTCACCCCTTCGACCCTCCCAAGCTATTCCATGTCACTGAAAATAAGAAGACCTCTTCAAATACCTTGGCAACAGATGAGTTTTCATGCTGGTTTAGCCTGTATTGTTTTAACGAGGAGATTAAAGCAAAATTAAGAATGCCTGAAAAACGAGGTACCTAATTATAGCATCTCTGTATCAGGAGTAATGGGGGGTAAGCTGCAAAGAGTGGCTGACAAGCAGCTAAGTAAAAAACTAACAAGCAGTTTGGCTGGAGTCCGTCACAGCACTAATGAAGTTCAGGATAAGACACCTGCATATTTCGAAGAACAAGGTGTGTGCCACTCAAATGCCCAGACGTGACATTTAAAGGCAGAGATCGTAAACAGAATGCAATCATTGCTAAGGACCGAAGTTTTGGCGTGCAAAGGGTATATACAGAGGTAAGAGAATTAAAAGCAATTAAATAGCTCAAGGTAGAGAAAGCTTTGGGTCACTTTTAGGAGTTGGAGAAACAGTAGCAGTTAGAATGTCAGGAATAGTGTGAGGGAGAAGTCAAGTGCTCTAAGCAGCATCTCCGTTATGTGCGTGATATTTTCCAAAAAGGACAAACTGCAGTGAGCTTGCAATCTATGGAAAAGGGGAAGAGCTGAAGAAAGCAAAGGGGATTTACAGTGCACTTTTTCTACAGAGTAACTTAATTCACCATGAACACACTGCAGGAACATTTAAATAGGGCAAGGAAAAGCACTGGGTAAGCAAGCTCACTGCAAAGCCTAGGGAGCACATGATGGAAAGTACAAACAGAGCTACACAAGTAGAAGTCTTCAAGCAGCAGCTCCCTTGTTTCCAACCATACCTTACATTTGAAGGCTCATTTATTTCTGAAAAAGAAAGAAAATTAAGTTAATTTGGTTCAGTCATCAACTCAAAGTCCAGCCTTTACTTTAGGAGCCCATGATGTCAAGTGGTAATGTCCTTCCAAAGTTGTGTGGCATGAGTACTGGGAAAATCCTGTGATCCTACTGGTTTTCCTGGACAACACAAGTCCAAGCTGTAAACTATTCCCACCACAAACACAGCCTTCAGAATTCCTTCTGGATCCCTTCCTCAAAGGGATTAGCAAAATCCTATCAATAGTACAACAATGCAATAATAAGGTAAGAAATGGTAGTGAAGGGAGGGTAGGATTTGTTCTCCTCAGATGGAAGGATGCTTCCTTTTGCCTGTTATTTTCCCATGTTCTGAAATAATCCAGTTTTTATCTGCCACGGCCTTTTTTTGCCAATCAATTCAATTGCAGCAGCAAGCCGACAAGCATTTTGAATAATGAGTTTGTTTTTGGGGTCGAAGGGTTTTGCTTGCTTATCCTGGCTTTGGAGAGAGCTGCCTTTGTATTAGCAATGCCAAAAGGGAGTCCAAGCTGCAAAACACACTAGGAAGGATCAATACTTTAAATGCATTAACACTAGTGAGCTGCAAATGAAGTTAGCAACTGCTGAGCATCACTGATTTCACAGTAAGTCTCAGCTCAGTTGGTTAATTTCTCTGAAGGATCAATGCCACAGCTGATGGTTACTGAAGTTTCTTCCTTCACCAAACACAAGGGGGGTGGAGGGTTTGAAATGAACTCTACAGGAGATCTCAAACCAACTCGACCGTGTAAATAAGAGAAGCATGGGTGTGTAATTCTCCTAATCTGTCAAGACTAGCACAGCAAAGGCATGAATCATAAAAGCCGAACTAAACCAGCTTCAAATTTTGGATCTAAATTTCACAGTTCCTCTTGTTATGTGGGGTCAATCAAAACAGGCAGATCCAACCTTGCCTTAGCTTTCAAGGAAATTGGACTTGAAAGCCGTAACTGCTACCCAAGTAGAATGCAAGCTTTGTATAAAGTGAGCAAGTCTTTCAATATAAGCTCTTTAATGGTATACAGCTTCTTAGGCAGACATACAGGAATCCTGTGGAGTGCTGTCTTCATAAACACTGGTCTTTTTTTTGGTTGCATTGTTGCTTGTTTTAATGGGGTTGCAGTCAAGTCACCCTTATCAAAGCAAGCTATTTGTAGATAGATCACATACCTGTGGCTCCAAGCAAGAGAAAAAGGGAATATGTGGTTGGAAGAATGCAGGCAATGCTCTAAGAGGAGATGGAGGAAAGTGTGCTGGGAGAAGGAGGGAAAGATCCAAGAGCTAAAGAGAAGGAGATAATGATGCATGAAGTGGAGAAATTCTGCCTGGAAAGACAGCGACTTGTGGAAACATCAGGAAAAACAGAATAAAAGATTTCAACCCAGGCTAAAGATACTGTGTGGATGTTAGCAAAATGAACCCACCAGCTGGAACTCAAAGAACCCAGAAATAAAATGTGATGAACTGCATTCTCAACTATGCAATAATTAAGCTAGCCTGGACTTCTAAAAGAGATTCCAACTCCTGTATTCCCAATTCTACTATGAGAACTCCATTATAACTCTGTATTTCCTAAGGACCTCAGGCTTCTAAAGGACAGGAATCCCTAGCACAAGATTCCATTTGAATTAAGGCCCTAATTTCACAAGTCTACAACTCCCTTTTCTCTCATGTTAGGTACCTGAAGAACTTACCTTTTCCACTTAGCTTTCAGGTGTAAACAGAAGGAAGCACACCTAGGAAAGGAGCAATGAAAATGTCCAATGTAGACAAGGAATCACATTGTAGGGGTTGGAAGGGATCTCTGGAGATTATCAAGTCCACACAGATAGGAGAACTTGACGTTATTCTGATTTTTTAAATTATTTTTTTTTCTACCACAACTTCAAACAGACAAGATTCCCAACTCTGCCTGGAGGGGATTACTGTGCCAACCTTCATATCGCTTCCCTGTCACAGGAAACTTTTTTGCTTCTTTCTCATTGATGATTTCCATCTCCAAAAGTCATAAGTTATAGGGCCAATTCCTTCCAAAAAAGTAGATAGATTTGTAGGTCTGAATAACAATTGAGCTTTCCAAGTTTTGGCCTGCTGGAAATGGCATTTCCAGGCCTTTCCCCTTTTTGTCAGAAACATACTGACTTCCTCCTTCAAACAGAAGACACAAGAGTAATCTTGTGATTCTTGTAGAGGTGGTGGATCTTTAAATAGAGCTGCTTTATGTGCTTGAAAATTCTGGACTAAAACAAAAAAGGAAAAATATATACACTTTTTCATGCATATTTTCACACACACACAAAAAAAAATCATCCTGTATTTTGGCATAGGTGGCCTTAGCTTAGAAAAATGTATAATGAGACTTGTGATAAAATTGGAGAGCTGTCAACACTGTGCTTTCCTGCTATACATTAAAAATCACTCCAAAAGGAGAAAGGACTAAGGGTGTTTTCACGTGTAAACAGAACAGGTGGGGAATTTGCAAATTGTTGACAATGTTTTCAAATTTTGACCAAAAACAAACAAATGGCCACCAACAACGAGAACAAAACATTGAATATTCAGAACACTGAGAACATTGTGCCCCAGAAAGCTTTCATTTCCCCTCTCATTTTTAACTCTGAAAACAAGAGCTGATGTGCTAGTTTGTTCTTCTCATATACTGATATTAGAAGATTTTCAATTTAAAAGGGAGAAAGCACTGTAACTGTCATCAGCAATGATGGTACTGAACCCAAATTTTATTCAGCCATCAGCATGGCTAACAGCATCATAGCTAACACGTCCACTCCTGGCTCAGATGTATCCTGATGTGTACAAAGAGGGAACCCTTCAGGGAAATTTTCCCTTGAGGGAATATGGCCCAAAATGCTTAGAATAATAAAATAAAGAATACTTACTGGTCAAGGAGAAGTCAAGGGATCTGATGACATAAATGCTGTAACTGCCAAGCCTCCGGTCCATCCACCACACCAGGTTACTTTGCCAATTACATCTTTTTGCAAGACACTGTTGGCTGGGTATTTTCATCTACATGACATGAAGGCTTTGGAGTTGATGCTCATGAAACAGTTTTCCAAGGGAATAAAATTCTTCCTAAAGCTCATTAGCTGAAAATTGTCTGGCACTCTGAGAACAGAGACTGTGTCAGGTTTTCTAATCTCTTTTCTGGATAGCCTTGCTCCCCACAGAGATGCACAAGGCTTTGAAGAAACTTGGAAGTTCAGGCCTCCATGCTGGTGCCCTCTGGAAACAACAGCCACAGATTATTTTGTGAGGACACACTTCCTTTCATCAGTTTGGGGTTTAGCACCTGGATGCCTCACTGAGTGCCTTCTTTTCACTCTATTCTACAGCTGATGCGGAGGGATGTAAATAAATAGGTTTGCTCTAGCAAGAATTGGAATAAAAATTCATGCAGGTGGTTGGAAGATAAGCAGGGTTTGAAAGGCTTTTTTTTGGGCAGCTCAACACTTGCTTAACCAGCTGTTAATTAAAGAAAGCATGCATTGTTTAAAAAATAATTGTTTAATTATTTTTCTTTATCAAAGTATCTTTGGTGCCCCTGTATCATTCCTCCTTACTACTGATAGAAGCCTAAATTAGGGAAAAAGATATTTTCAAAGTCAACTGCTTGATCTTGTGGGGTATTCCAGCCAAGTTCTTGACGGTTTTTGAACCCTATTAGTGGTGTTCAACAGTGTCACTGGGAAAGGCAGTGTGACTACAAGAACTGTGGCAAACTGAACTCTGCCTCCACTTTGACCATCAGTGCAAATTGTCTTGACTGGGGGATTTCTCTTCAAGAAAAGATCCATCTATTATTTTTCAGAAGGAAACCAGGTAGTCTTAATTTCTCAGCCAGGCTGAGGCAAAGAAGACGAAATGTATTTTTTCTTTGTCACTGGAATAATGCTAGTTCAAAAACCTTTTTGAAATGACAGAGATGATAGTAGTTCTGCCTCCTTTGTTCTTCACATCTTTACCCTTCTTTAAGTTCTTCGACACATGTGCTTCATCTTCCATCTGAACAAGATAGAGTTTTGCATCAACCCAGACTGACCAATGCTGGAAAGTCATTCTTCACTCCTTGTTTCCCAGGCCATCAGCAGATGAGCTGATAAACATCTATTTTCTGTTCCATGACACTTCCACACTCCCACCAGAGCCTCCCTCCAGCTTGGTTTAAATTAAACACCTGCCGAAATGAAGAATTGCCACAAAGTTAGGTGATTTGGCTATTGCAGATCTTCATGTCATGAATTTTCAGCACTTACGGGATGGCCCTTTCTTGACTTTCCTGTCAAGAACAGCACTCCTGTTCCTGAGCTGGGGGGTTCTTGACATGCAATGTATTAATGCTGACAAGTAAAACCACCTGATTTTACCTAGGATCATTGCCTGTCAAAGAAACTAAATAGACCTCTTTAGCAACTGAATGGCCTTATATTTCAAATGTATTGATCTAGGGAAGCTGAAGTGTTATTTTAGCCATATTTCTGCTTGCAAAAATCTTTGATGCCATGAAAATTATTCAGCAGACTTGCTGTGATTTACAGTATACAGCCATTAGCAGACTTTAGTGTTAAACATGATTTGTTCTGAGTTTCTGGAAATAGCACGTGTGGCCTCGATTCTATTTCTGTTAATGTAAACAGGAGAAATTCTGCTCATTGTTTAACATTTTTCTTCATAAGAAAGACTAGATTCAGGCTTCCAACAATAGCTACATGTCATCCAGGATGGGCTTACAAATGCTGTTTCAGTGCACTGGGAGATGGAGTCTGCACCCTTCTGTAGGCAGTCTTGGCTCACCAAGGTTGTTACACCAAGCAGAACAATTCTTAGCATACAAAGAGCAGAAAGAATATAAATTTGCATGCCTTATCCAGCTCCTGGCATTGAATAAAAATAAACAAATACAAAAACAAACAAACAAACAAAAAAAAACAACCAACAAAAAGCTATGACACAGTACATTGGATATTCTGTCCCATATATGCAATGAATTACCTACAAATTGACTTCTTTGATCCCATTTAAGGAGAGCCTCATACAGTCCAACATTCCCAAATTCACAGCATCTTCACTACCAGGTAATGTTGAACAAGGGAATGCATCAACCTGACAGCCCATAAGAGCAGGAGATGGGAAGTGGTTTGGGCCCTACTGTCTGGTTATCACTTGGATTATCAAGTTGCTAGATAATGCATGAGAAGTTTTGGTATTACATGATCTCAAAAAGGAACTAAGGGAGAGTAAAAACCTTATTTCATGAAACTTTGACTCCATTTGCTTTACTTGGATTTTTTTGCTTCATTCCTGCTGTGGCAACGTGCTGCAGGAGTTCAGATGGACTGAGAAAGCTTAGCAAAGGTTGGGCAAATCTGCCCTCCAGGATGGACTCTGCTCTCTGCAAAGCAGAGGGAACAAGAAGAAGGTATAAAAATTGACAAGTTCCACAGAAACCTTCTGGACTGGTGCCTTCAGTGGCCTCAGTAAGCAGGGCCATGCAATGGAGTGGCAGCACCTTTATGAAAAGCAGTAGCTCCTTCGCCGCTTTTTTGTAGAGGAGCAATAGCACTGACCTTCCTTTGGAAAAAAGCACAGAGGGATTTAAGGACTGAAGTGCTGCTTCAGCACTGTTATTTTTATTCAGGAGTGCATCAAAGAAAGGAGGTATATATATATATATACTTTTATCTTTTTATTTTATCTTTATATTTACTGTTAATCCAAGACCACTGAGGGAATACTGAACTGTTCAGCTGTAAAACAACACATGCAATATCTCTGCCTTTATCTCACCTGACAATGTTTTTGATTTGAATGAGAACTTGCCAAGAAGTGGGTTAATTAATTAAGCAATATCCAGCAGATTTGACTTAGATTTTCAGGATGGTGCAATGTTTCTTACCCCTCTTTAAAAGGAAGAGGAGATCTTTAAATGTATTTATGGAAATGAGCTGCTCAGTTGAATATCTTCTCTGAGTCCTGGCCATTTTCACTTGGACATTTCCCATTTCTGCCTTTTCTTCCTGGGGACAGGGACAGAAGCTGAGGCACAGAGACATCACAGGAGAGGTTGTTGCCTTCAAATTTCCAGCCCTGTTTTGCTGATTCAAAGATATGGATATTTTGTTTGAATAATTAGCTGCAGCTTTTATCTCAACTGAGCCTTCAGGCACCCCACATTCTTTCCCATTGCTGGCTCCTGTGCTCATACTACAGAGACATGGGATTTATTTTTCCTTATATGAATTCAGATCAGATTGTCAGCATTTTTCCTGAGCTGACCAGGGCTCAGCATGGTTTTGCTTCCTCCCTAGAGCTAGATGGATCAGTAAAGTATCACATGTGCAAACTGCTCAGGCTAAACATGCAAAGTCCCTTCTGCAGAGATTGGGGCAGAAAGCCACTCCTTTAACTTAAAGCTGCTTTCTCCTCCTCTTCTTACGTGATATCCACAGCCTGGGTTTCTCTTAAAACATTTAACTGGGGGAAGCCATTTGTTTCCCTTGATCTGTTTACAGACAGACAAGAATATTTTGAAAACCAGAGGAAGCAGCACATTTTTGCCCTGCAGCAGTTATGGCATGCTGTGCATTAGAGAGAGATTGATAACTTCATAGCACAACTCTCTCAGCCCATCTCTAAAACACTAAACAGCCGCTCTCTCCGCCTGCATAACAAGGGAAGATTTGCAAAGCTGAAGCCATCAAAGCTATGCTTCTGGACATAGCTGGCATTCTCTCATTTGTAGGAGGATGGAAGAAATAAACCATAGAGATGGACTGGAGAAGGTTAAAACGACAGCAAGAACTGGGGCTGTTCAGCCTGGAGAAGAGGGGGCTACAGGGTGACCTGAGAGTGGCCTTTTTTCCCAAATGGGGGCTATGAGAAAGAGGAGAACAAGCTGTTCAGCAGGGTCTGTTGTGATAGGACTAAGGGGAAATGCTTTCAAACATAAAGAGAGATTTATATTGGATATAAGAAAAAAGCTTTTATGGTAAGGGTGATGAGGCACTGGAGCAGGTTGCCCATAAAGCTGGTGGATGTTACATTCATGGAAATGTTCAAGGCCAGGCTGGAAGGGCTCTGAGCAATGTGATCTAGCTAGGTTGTCCACGTTCATTGCAGGGGAGTTGGGCTGGATCTCCTTTAAAGGTGCCTTTCAACTCAAATGATTCTATAAAGAGAGTTTTGTGGAGCTCTTGGTAACACTTAGGGTGTCTATTAGGAGTATATCTTAGTGCATTCAAACAGTACTGAAAGCTCAGGTCCTATCTGAGCACAGGGTCCTTCTAGCTAGAAGCAAGAATTATCCTTCAGCTTCAAGTCATTGCAATACTTCAGTTCTCAAGCTAGAGGAGCAGCAATTTGGTTGCAGGTTTTGAGCCATAAAACAATCTCTCCTCTCCTCTCCTCTCCTCTCCTCTCCTCTCCTCTCCTCTCCTCTCCTCTCCTCTCCTCTCCTCTCCTCTCCTCTCCCTTTTCTCAAAGCAGGTCAACAGACACAAACAGGATTGTTTAATTTGGAGAATAGGAGGCTTGGGGAAGACCTTATCACTCTCTATAAAACAACATGAAAAGAGGTTGTAGTGAGGTGAGGCTCATGAGTAACAGCAATAGGATGAGAAGGAATGGCCTTAAGTTGTGTCAGGGGAGGTTCAGGCTGGATATTAGGAAAAATTTATTCTCAGAAAGAGTGGTGATGCATTGGAACAGGCTGCCTGGGAAGGTGGTGGAGCCATCATTCCTGGAGATGTTCAAGAAACACAAAGAGGTAGCACTGAGGCACTTGGTTAGTGGGCATGGTGGTGACTGAATGGTGTTTGGATTAGATAATAAATTTATGACTGAGGAGAAAGTTAGAGGGATCTGTATGCACAGAGTTGATAATTCCAACTCATTCTATGGGACCTGTTTTCAGAGCATCTCCAGGTCAGGCTTTGTGTACCACATCTCCAATGCTGCAGTGTTACCAAGGGGAGGAGAGGGAAGAGAGAGAAATTGGAGAGAGAAACACTGTTACCAGAGCTGGCATTTTAATATTGAAAGGTTGTGAAATCTAATAAGAGCTACAAGGGAGGTTGATGTATTTTTTCCTCATGCTACGATGAAATTGGGATTCAATAAGTAAATGTGACAGAATATGCAATTTCCCATAGATTTTGTG